AAGGAGGGAAGGGGGAGGCAGGAAGGGGAGAGGGGGGGAGGGAGAGAGGGGAGGGACAGGGAAAGAAGGGAGAGAGGGGAAGAGGGAGGGAGGAGAAAGAGGGGGAGAGAGAAAGGGAGGAGGGAGGGAAGGGAGGGGAAAATGAAGAGAAAGAAATTTTTGTCCTAAAGCTCTTCAGTCTGTTCCTTTCTTAAGAACCCGCTGAGGAGAGAATAATGGGTGAGTGTCAGAGAATATCATATTCCTAATGAAAACAGCTTTATGAAACCTATCTCTTTATACAACAAATAAAGCATAATAAAACTTTAACTTAAAAGTATCACTTTTTAATTTTTCATTACTTAAAAAACTATTTAATCATTAAGTACCTGCTATTTATTATTCTAAAAAACGTTGTTTTTTTTTTTTTTTTAAGAGCCTGTGGGTCCTACTATTGGTTCTCTGCACACCTCAACACAGCAGCTCATCCCCAGAAACCCACAGCCTATGAGTCAGTATATAGCAAGTATCTGACCCAATATGGAACAGTTAGAATCTCCCTTCTAGAATATTATCTAGATGATACTGGACCCTTGATTTGCAAGAGTTTGTAAAATTGGAGCCTGTAGGTGGCTTGTCTTAACCACACAAGAACTGTGGTTTTGGAGCGAATAGGCTAAAAGCTGTGACTAAAAAGCTGGTAAGCAGGAGGGACAGGACAGCATGGACAGAGCTGTGCGATGCTGAGCTCTGCTAGACACTGCCTTTCCTATGAGAGTCAGATACAGCTCTATGCACCCCATTTCCTCTTTACTCACCTGAGCTTCCTCGTCTCTGAAATCAAATGTCTGAACAATCCCTTGGACAAATTAAATAAAATATGACTCTCAATGGCCTGGTTGGAGCAGATGTAGAAGGAGAAAATGGAGAAGGCTGGGAGGATAAGAAACTATGCACTGCTTTATGAGAAGTCAGCTGTTAGCCCCTTTAATACACAAAAGGAAAGGCCAGTAAGACAGTGAGTTTCTTTACTCATATCTGATGAGAATAGAACATACATACAGCCTTACAGATCAACAGGACAAGGGGAGAAGACAAAGAGCCCCACATCCTGTATAAAGACCATGTACCTGTCTACAATAACTGAAAACAAGACCACTGACAAACTGACACACAGTTTTCAACCCCCCTAAAACAACCTGGTATATATTAACAAGAATAAAGAAAAAAAGAAAGGCTGTAAGTATTAAAAAGAATATTTTACAATATCTCCATTGGAGAATACCAATAATTCACAGCATTTATAAGCAGCCCCCCAAGTTATTACTATAACAATCATTTATGGAACACCTTCCAGTAAATACTGGAGGAAATGGTGAACAAGAGAAGACTACACCTCTGCATAATTACACAGAATTAGCATTTTATTTATTTTATCAAGTAATGAACATTAATATATGATGGGGAATGTTCTTCTGTATATATGTTTCTCTTATTGGTTAATGAATAAAACACTGACTGGCTGATTGCCCAGACAGGAAGTGACATAGCTGGGCAGAATCAGTATATAAGCAGGGACAAACACGAAATCTTTCTTCGATATGGAGATGCTGAGCAGTCAAAGGAGTTGAAGGTCTAGCATTCTCCGGTAAACTAAGACTACATGGAAATCCATAGATGAATAGAAATGGGTTAATAATTAAGACAGAACTAGCCAAATAAGAAGCCCAATCCATTGGCCAACAGTATTATAATTAATATAAGTCTCTGAGTGTTCATTTGGGGTTGATGCATCTGTGGGGCCAGGCTGGTTGGAAGAGAACGTGTTACAAATATAAACTTTTAAATGACAGAATGCTTTCAGGGGAGGATTGGATTAGAGAATATTTGCACATTTCTCAATTTGTTGAAGCTGTAGGCAGATAACAATAAAAAAAGTCAAAGAATGTGTAGTTCACTAAATTCCTACAGTCATCCATCCATCCACCCACCCACCCATCTATCCATCCATCCAATTATCCATCTGTCTGTCCATTCAACCATTCCATTTGTCTACCTGTCCATCCAACCATCCAACCAACCATCCATCCATCCATCTATCTATCCATCTAATTGTCCATCTATCTGTCCATTCAACCATCCAATAATCCATCCACATGTCTGTCCATCCATCCAACTAACAGATACATAATTTGATAGTGCTTTCTGTATTTTGAAGAACCATTGATGGATTATGAGACATTTTTCAGGATTGTTAGTCAGAGCTACACCACTGATTCTGTTAGAAGAGACTATAATGCCTTTTAAATGCTACACGTTTCCCAAATTGTTTTACATCACAATGAGTCTTAAGTGCATGAATGAAAGGAGTGTCCCTTATAATTAACTTCTCTGCCCTTATGTCATAGTTTACTTAATTTTTATTGCATAGTACAGTCTGAATAACTACTGAACAAAGAAATGAACAAATGAATGTTCAGGCCTTCTTTGTTAATTTACTACGATGAATAAGATTGATCATTAGATTTCTGTATTGAACAATTTGCTTAATTTCATTTAACGAAAAAGTAAGTGTATTATTTTGTTCAGTACTTGGGCACAAACCTAGGGCCTCTATCACTGAACTAATTTTTTTTTTTGGACAAGGTCTCATTATGTAGCCCAGGGTGACCTTGAACTCTTGATCTGTCTGCTTTACCCTCTGGTGCTGGGATTATAGATATGTGCAACTGTGCCCAGTATACATTTTTGGTACTTGTGGAACATGAAAATGACCAATAGATGTTAACCAATACATGGCTCTGAACTATAATTTAAGAAGCCTTAATATAACCCTAGCCCTTGGGAAGATGAGGCAAGTGGATCTCTTGTGAACTCAAGGCCTACATAGTTAGTTCAAGGCCAGTCAGGGCCACACAGAAAGATCTTTTCAAGAAAGAAAGAAAGGCTGTGGGGAGGGAAGGGACCTCTATATAGCATGTTTAGTGTCACTTTCTGACTCAAGATATTGACTGATGTTTTTCAAGGCTTTCTGATATTGTATGGCTGCACAAAAATAAACCAAAAATAAACTCGTAATCAATACAGAAGCTTAATTCTTTGTCCTCTTCCTTTTACTGATATTTGTACTTTAAAGATATGGTTCCATATAAATAAAAGGAATTCTAAGAAGCAAAACCTTTAGAAAAAACACAGCAGCAAAAGAACCACAAAGCTTATTACCTACTTTTCTTTTTATTACAAAACAAAATAAAACCAGATAGGTGTGGTGGTGCACACCTTTAGTCCAACACTATGGAGGCAAAGGCAGGTGTTGATGAGTTTGAGACCAGCCTGTTCTCTGTAGTGAGCTCCAGGCCATCCAAGTCTACACAGTGAGATCCTGCCTGTCTTAGTTACGGTTACTATTACTGCAGTGAAACACCATGACCAAAAGCAAGTTCCTTTTCCATACCATGGTTCATCTCAAACAGGGCAGGAATCTGGAGGCAGTAGCTGATACAGAGGCCATGAGCTGCTTACTGGCTTGCTCTCATGGCTTGCTCAGCCTATTTTCCTATAGAATCCAGAACCATCAGCCCAGGGATGGCACCACCTATAATGGGCTGGGCCCTCCCCATCAATCACTAGTTAAGAAAATGCCCTTTCCAATGATCTTATCGAGGCATTTTTTTTTTTCAACTGAGGGTCTGTCCTTTCAGATGACTCTAGTTTGAGTCAAGTTGACATAAAACTGTCCAGCAAACTCTCTCAAAACAAGATAGTAACAAAAACAACCAAAACACCAACCCCTCTCTCTCTTCTCCTGATGTAGTATACTTATGTTGTGGAAAAGCCAAGATTCTGAGCCATGCCAGAAAGTAAAATAATTTTGAGATGTTGTTCTATGTTTCATAGCACTTATATATCCTTAGCTATTTTAGGTGAATTGGTAAAATGAGAAGTATCTGTTAGTTACCTTTCTTGTTACCATGACAGACTGATGACAGAAATAGCATAAGCTAGGAATGGTTTATTCTGGCTATGGCTCAGGAGGTGCAGTTCATCATGACAGGGTTGGAGCAGCTCCTGACTGGAGATGAGGAGTGTGAGACAACTAGATACACTGAAGCAGTCCTGCAGCCAGGCTCTACCTCCTAAAGGTTACACACCCTCAGGACAGCACTGCCTGCTAGGAAGCCGTGATCAAATACAAGAGCCTGCCGGTAAGGTTTTAATATAACTTTCTCTGGGTTCGTTGACAATTTCATATATATAAAGTGCAATTTGATTATTAAGCCCCTCTCTAGTCTCCCTTCTGTTGGAGACATTTTACATTCAAACTAATCATATCTATAAAGGCATTAGGTAGTATTAAAAATTTGCAAATACTTTACAAAGTGAATAATTCTCAAACAACTGAGAATTGACATCAGGTTTAGATCAGTGACTATACAGGATAAACTTCACTTTATTTAATGACATTCAAAAAATTTTTTACATGGCTAAAGATGAAATTGAGATTATTACATGTGCTAAAAAATAAATATTAAATTTTGATAAATTGCATGCATTTTAATTGTCTCAAAAAGTTTTGCATGTCTAATTTTTAATAATAAAAATGTAAAATATATTTAAGTTAATGAGAGGACAGTATTTGCTGTTTGAAACTAAACCATTTAAACTCTAACTAAATTCAGTGATATACATATAAAATTCTCTGATAATTTTCAATAAACATGTATTTCAATTCCCTCCTTCTGGAAGAAGTGTTATAAACATTAAACACTCACCTAAAAGTGCATTTTTCCCATGGTCATCTGGTAGAAATCGCTTGTCCACAGCACAAACTAGGATATGTTCAGGAAGATTGGGAGACTTGGCCCCCACCAGGAGGAACCCCGCTGGGATGTCAATTTGCTCCATACACAGCGATACCAAACGCAAATCCTTTCCTGCTTGGCAAAACCCTGAAAAACAGTAAGAAGAACACAGGAGAATTTTAGGGAAGACAACATCTCCTTATCCCCCATTGGGAAAGTAGAGTTATGTATGGGAATCTCTTCTAAGGACTCAAAGCCCATGTACTCCAACAAGAAGACTAATCTATCCTCTCCTCTCTGGTTCCATCAAGATGACAACTCAAGTTTTCTGGCCCACAAGTAAGGCAATCATAAATATATAGTCTATACATTTTATATGCACATTGTAAGGTTTTTACATTCTGTGTGTGTGTGTGTGTGTGTGTGTGTGTGTGTGTGTGTGTGATATTACATGTGAGTATAAATGTGTGTGTTTAGGAGCCTGCAGAGATTAGAGGTAATGTGAGCTGTCTTCCTCAATTGTGCTCTACCATTGAATCTGGAGCTCATCAATTTGAATAGGATGGTGGTGATTAGTTCCAGGGACCTATCTGTCTTCTCTCACTCCCCACCGGTATTGCAGTTACAGACACTCGCTTGTCTTTTTTATAGGTGCCTGGGATCTGAACTCAGGTCCTCATGCTTGCAGCAAACTGCTTTATCAATGATCCATCTCCCTAGCTTATTTCCCAGCCCTCGCATGGGACCAGCTCACAACCACCTCCAGCTCCAGGGGTTTGACACCATCTTCTAGCCTCAAGCATATATAACCCCACACAGATATAGAGAATATACAATTTAAAATAAAATGAAAAAATTTAAATTATAAAATACTAAACCAGGAAGCACTTGAAAGAAGTGTCAACTTTGCTTATCAAAGAGATTACTAATTGACAATAAACGTAGAACACAATTCCCCTAGGAAGTGGCATCCTTACCCTTAAGTATGACTTGCTTCAAGAACTGGGACATGAACCGCCTTGCTCATCAGCATGGATTAACCATTGATGAGAAGCTTATGACTGGCTATTCATTGAGAGCTGCCTCTGTCGCCAAGGCTGGAGCAGTGAGTCTCTACAAGTGTGACTCTGTATTGGATGGAGATGGCAACCACAGCCTGTATCAACTTACAAAATTACTGCAATGTGGTTAGAACGTTATAGTTCTATAAAACCTTGAGGTTGGGATTAGAGGGATGGCTCAGTGGTTGTGAGCACTTGTTGCTCTTGCAGAGGAACACAGTTTGGTTCCCAGCACCCATTCAGGTGGCTCACAACTGCCTGTAACTCCAGCTCCAGGGATCCAACACTCTAGTCTGGCCTCTGTGGCCTCTTGTGCACAAATTAACACATATACACACATTTTAAAAATAAAATAAATCTTAAAAGACCCAAACACTTAACCTTAAGGTCACCATTACATAGTTGCTTAATAGGTGGCTCTCATAAGTTCAGGGATTCAGAAAGACGGTCTAAGACACTTAAGAATTATATGTGAAATTTATTCTTAAAATTTTATTAGTATTGCGTTTTTGTGTGTGTGTGTGTGTGTGTGTGTGTGTGTGTGTGTGTGTGTGTGATATGGAGGGTTTAGGTGTGCCACAGCACGTACATGGAAACTAGAGAACAACTTTGTGCAGTTTCTTCTCTCCTAACTATGTTCACATGGATTCTGGGAACCAAACTCATGCCATCAAGGCTTCTGTGGCAAGCACTTGTACCTGAGGAGCCATCTCACTGCCCTACTAATTTGGTATAAGTGAAATCTGAATAGTCATCATTACCATTTCCTAAAACCTGTTTATTATAATTCCCTACTTTAAAAACAGTATATGGCCAGGCATTGGCAGTACATGCCTTTAATCCCAGCACTCAGGAGGTAGAGGCAAGCCTGTGAGTTCAAGGCCAGTTTGGTCTCCAGAGTGAGTGCCAGGATAGGCTCCAAAGCTACACAGAGAAGCCCTGTCTCAAAAAACCAAACAGTATAGGGCCTTCTTCCAACATATGCAAAGTGAGTAAATCCAGTCAAGTGAGCTCATAGTTCATCTAGACAAAGCCCATTATCAGTGTGTAGTCTTTACTATTATATAATTTCACGTTGTTTTCAGCTACACTGATATGTTGTTTAATTCATATGTGTAATGGGCTGCTGTTTAAAGTTGGGAAGCTCAGGTAATTATAGAAAGATAATTTTACTAATGCACACAAATATGCTCATTGGGCATATAAAGTGAATTTCTCACCCTAACTCACCCAGACATCTCCCCTTCCTTCATAAGGAGCCACTGGCAGCTGATAGCTGCTGGGGGAGGGAGAGTCTTTTGTGGCGAATGTGTTCTCATTGGTAGGTTTCCCATGCTCCAGTGTGCAGCTCTGTGCACTAACTGGATTTAGTGGGTTATCAGGGAAAAAAAAAAGAAGACACGAAGTTGGGAGTAGGACACATTAGGAAAATTGGAGGAGGGAAAGGAGAGTGGGTATAATTATATCTCATTGTACATATGTATGAAATTCTCAAGGATAGAGACATCTAGAATTTTTAAATGATAATATTAGAACTGGGAATGTACTTTAGTAGTAGAGTGACCTAACATGTGCAGGCCCTAGTTTGATTCCTAGTAACACACAGACACATACATCAACATTCGCACATACATAAACACACACATATGGACATATCCAACATCAGCAAGAGTATGTAAAATGAATCAATATGATTTTAGACACCAAAAATTAATGCTTGCTTTCTTTTATTTGGAGCTCACTATGTTGCTTTGGCTGGCCTAGAACTCTCTACATAGATCAGGCAAGCCTTAAACTCACAGAGATCCTCCTATCTTTGCCTCCCAAGCATTGAAAATTAATGTTATAAAGATTAAAAAATAGCAATTATGATCCAGGCTAAATTTTATCACAAAGAAAAATATAAAAATTATGGGAACAAATGTTTATATTCCTTTAATCCCCAAATATAGAAATTCCATAACTTGGGCATTAGATGTTGATTAGGAGCTAGGAATATAGTTGAGTGGGAGAGTGTTTGCCTAGTATGCTTGGGGGTTCTATAGCCAGAATGGGGGTGGGAGGTGAGGAGTAGAGTTTGGACTGACTTTAAATGCTGAAGACATTTAAATCCATTTGTCTTTCCTAAAACAAAGTATAATCTTTTATTTTTGAATTTCACACTCTCTTTTTTATACATCTTACTTAAACTACAACTATTAAGTCATAAACTGTATATAGTTTTTATATAGCATAATACATAACTGTAGTTTTTGTATAGCATAAATATCAAAGAATATGCTAATATACCAGTCAGTCCAGAATAAGTGCTTTCTACTTAAAGTTAAATTTTTTATTGTATGCCACGAAATACAGAATTATTTAAAAAAGCTCGAGGAGTTCAAAAGTGTCTTACTAAAAGATATTTGTGACTTGGAAGATTGGGGGACACTAAAATACTCTAATCTCTTCAATATGCCAATGAAAGAAAGGTCTAGGAAGGTTAACCAAATGTCCCAAGGCCAAATAGCCATAAACCAAGCAAGAGGACACCATGACCCAGATCTCTAAATCCAAGTGAGTTGATCCCTTAACCTCCCCATGTCTTACAGACTGTAAAGGAATATGCCTTAAATTCTACAACTCTGGACACTAAGGCAGCAAGACCTTGAATTCAAGACCACTTTGGGAAATCGATCTCACAACCAAATAAAAAAAAAAAGAAAAGACCAAAACTAAAAACAGCAATGACACCACCACCACCAAAACCCAGAAAAAAGTGGGCTGAAGAGATGGTGCAGTTGTTAAGAGCACTGGCTGCTCTTCCAGAGGACCCTTGATCATTACTGTCCTCAACACCAGCTCCTGGGAGCATCTGATGTCTTCTTCTGGCCTCTTTGGGTACCAGGCATTCATGTGGTCACACACACACACACCACACACACACACACACACACACACACACACACACACACACGTAAATAAAAAATAAATAGATCTTAAAAACCGACAACAGAATAAGTGCTTCTGACTTGTCTATGCTTTCCCCAACTCTGGTACAACACAGGACACCACACTATAACCTCTTCCTTGCTTTTTTTTTCAGTCCTATCATGTGTTTTCATTGTGTCCTTTTAAGCTGAATTCTGGGGGGCATTTGATATAACATTCCTTGTCAACCATGACTATGTCAGCATCTACCCATGTCATACTCACTGACGAATCCTGAAAAATGCAAGGTTTTAGTTATGAATGCTGGCATCTACCCATCATGCCAGATAATGAGGAAGAGGATTTTGAGACCAAGAGTTTGTTAGTCTGGAAATTTTTTACAAACCACAAAATGATGTATGTTTAGAATATAATGTTTCTTTTTTCTTCTCTCTCTCTTCTGCTTCTTCCCAACCCCTGTAGGCCAAAAGGTCCATGTCAACTGTCTTCTTCAATTGCTGTCCACCCTATTCTTTTGAGATACAGTCTCTCACAGAACATGGAGTTCACTAACTGGCTAGACTGGCTGGTCAGTGATTCCCAGGGTTTCAGAAATGTGTACCTAACAAACCTGGCTTTCTATTATAGGTGCTAAGAATCTGAACTTGGGTCTTCCTGCATACAGCTGGCACTTCCCTGACTGAACCATCTCCCCGGTCCAAAGAGTGACACTTCTGATGAGATTTCTCTCATGGCAAAGGTGGGTAAGGGGAAACCACTATTTTGGTCCCTGACTAAACACAGTTGAGAAGGCACAATGTAGAGAGTGCACACAGAAAGCATGATTTTCTTTAAAATGAAAAAACTCTTTTTTCAGAGTGATTTCTGGGGCAAAATGAAAACTATATAATTCATTTAAATGAAGAAGCATAAACAGTTTTTAGTATGGTAGACTTGGGGGTTTCCATCTGTGGTGGGAAGATAGATATCAAAGGTAATAATCAGGCTGGGCATTGGTGGTGCACGCCTTTAATTCCAGCACTCGGGAGGCAGAGGAAGGCGGATCTCTGTGAGTTGAAGGCCAGCCTGGTCTCCAAAGTGATTGCCAGGATAGGCTCCAAAGCTATACAGAGAAAGCCTGTCTCGAAAAACCAAAAAAGAAAAAAAAAAGGTAAT